TTTGACTTCAGCTGCTGTATTACTTAGCAGTACAAAATATGGCACAAAATAACTCAATCGCTTATAAGCTAATTTGTGTTACAGAAACAAGGTTGTAACAGAACAGACTATACCAAAACTTTAAATTATCATAGTTTTTCTAGATTTATATTAAAAGAATGGAAATTTAAAATATTTTACCAAGTCAACTCACTACTGAGGAGAACTCTTAGTACAGGAAGAAAATACGGTTAAAATAATAGCTCTGGTATGTAGTCAGTGTTCAATAAATGTTAGCAACAGCTACTGCTGCTGCTGCTGCTGCTACTACTACTACTACTACTACTACTTCTTCTTCTTCTTCCGCAACTGCTACTTCTATCAGTAAAGTTGGAAACTAAAAGAACTCTGAGGCGGACACCTGTGGCATACCCAGTGTCTATTACTCCCTACTTTCTTGCTAACCAAATTCTAATTTTTGTTCAGGAATCTACTTCTCAGGGAAGGTGACCTTAACCCCATTTTAGGGGTATATTTGGGTTAGTCTAAACCAATTATGGTAATCCCATTCATTTTGCCTATGACAGGTTTAAGGGTAGGCATGTGGCCTCATGGCCAATAAAACACGAAGGAAGTTTGCTAAGGGAGCAGGGGAGAAGCTTTGGGAAAACCTTTCCTTATATGTAAGAAAGAGACACTGGAGTGGCTTCTCTTCTCTTCCTCTGAATATTGTCAGGGGAAAAGTACTTTAGGTGCTCTGATGTTCCATTTATATTTTTGAATTCCCCTTTCTCAAAGAATTTGACCTTCAGGCATCTCTCTCACTATCTTCTATGCTCTTTGCTGATTTTAAAATGATAAAAAAACAATCTTATTCAGTAATTTTTTTTAAGATATCTGTCAGAATAACCTATTCTGTCATTACCAAAAATGGAAGTCTCTTACATTTGTTTCTAAAATGATCTAAGATTGATTTGTTTTGAGAATGTTATCTACAACATTTACAATCTTCTTTATAACAATTAGTTTTCTACTGCATAGCTCAACTGTCTAGCTCTGTACTGTCCAATACGGTTGCCACTAGCCACAAGTGGCTATTCAGATTTAAATTAATTAAACTTAAAAATTCTGCTCTTCAGTTGCACTAGCCACATGTCAAGTGCTCAATAGCTACTTTGGCTAGTGGCTACCAGACTGGAGAGTGTACATATAGAACATTTCTATCATTGAAGAAAGTTCTCTTGAACAGCACTGGGCTAGATTATGGTGTTCTGAAAGCTTAAATTTTCATATACTAGATTATATTTTAAAAGGCCCCAGCTTACACAACTTATGCTCAGACAGGTTTACTAACTTGGATAGCATGAAAATAAATTCCAGTGTGGGAAATGAATTGCCTCAAATGCTAAACTAGCAGAGTCAAGTTTAATTTAAAAAAAACATAATTATTTGTATATCTATGATATAGTTATGTTAACTGTATCTGCTTATCATTTGCTAAAAGCTGAAACAGAAGACAAAGATGGTAATAGAAATGTTCAACCCACCAATAGCAAGCTCTACAATATAAGCATCTAACACATATCTCATGGGCAAAATGCAACAAGCCTGAGATGTTGGGCATGTTTTTTTCTTTTCCTGTTACCTATCACACATTATTCATATTATATAGTACTATGTTATTAGGGCCAAAATGTGTGCCCACCCTTACAATTATATAAACAATGGAAATAGATTGGAATTGAGAGGTGAGTTTGGCTTTCTCACTTCTACCTAACACAGTCTGATATACCGTAGGTATTCAATTCTTCTACCCTTGGATAAAACCTCTATTCTTCTAAGATTCATATTATCCATCCAAATCACTATCTGGCTTCATCACTGCTTCCTACTAACCTCATGATAGTCATTTCCCTTCATTTACTGAAGAGTTTGATACCTGGTTCACAGTCTCACTATATACCCCAAGTTCTAACAACATCTTGAGTGACTTCAGCATCCACACGGAAGACTCCTCAAATTCTCTGGCCTTGATTTTCCTTGAACTCCTTTACCTTCACTCAAGGTTAGGCATGCACTTCCATGGCCACACTCCAGATTTGACATCACTGAGAAGAGTCTTACTTCTCATATCTTAAATTCAAATACATTCCATTCTCTGATCCCCTCACCTGCTATCTCCTTCACCTGTTTCTCCTGCAACACTGGTTCTCTGATTTTTACGGATTTTTTTAAGTTAAGTCTTTAATTTTCTCTCTGTTAGGCCTTTTTAGACTCCACTGTCATTCCTAGTGTAGAGCACATGGCTCAGCACTTCAATCATTCTTACTGGTATCCTTAAATTCTATTCTTCTTGATTTGTTTGTTATTATGTTACAATCTTGCCTTTCTGCAACCCATTCTCAGCTAAAGCATAAATCTGAGGCTAAATCTTTCAATGGTTTCTTCATGCCTCAAGATAAAGATCACACTCTTTAACCTCCATGCCTCACACTTAATTTTCCTTCTGCCTAGAACGCTCTCATTGTCACTTTCTTCTTTTCTGGTCAGCTCCTATCTGCCCTTCAGAGCTTTAGCATCGTAGGGGAAGAAATTCCTAAATCCCTAATGAGGTTATGTGCCAATTCTCTGTGCTTTTATAACATCCCATATTTATTCTATCATCTCATATCATATCTATCATATCACTTTGTATTGCGATTTTCTATATTTAAGTGGGTTTTCCAGGAAATTATAAGATGGCTTGAGGGCAGAGATTGTCTTTCTTACTCTAGCACAATCTGATATACAGTAGGCACTCGATTATTTGTTGAGTGAAGGATTAAATAATGCTGATAACTTGAAACGATAATTGCAATTGAAGCTACATGTAATTACTTCAAGATGCAGATTTAATGGAATTAAATATGATAAATAAGCTATAGAGTGTGTTAGAAGGTGGTATGGGGGTAATAGAGCAGGGTAAGGAGGAATAGGAGTCCCAGGGTTATAGGGAGCAGGAGGGCTGCAATTTTAAATACAGTATTCAAGCTAGGCCTCATTGAGAAGGTGACAGTTGAGTAAAGGTGAGGTAAGAGAGTTGACCATGTAGATATTTTAGGAGAAGAATATACTAGGCAAAGGGAATAGCCAATGCAAAAGCCTGGCATGTAGAAGGAAGGAGTTCAGAGAAACAACAGAAAGCCAGATTGTATAGGCCTTGCAGGCTGTTATAAGGACTTTGGATTTAAGTAAAATGGGCAGTCATTGAAGGCTTTTGAGTAAAGGATGTGACTCACTCTGCCTCCTATATTGAGGACTGTAGAGAGCAAGAGCATTATTGGGAAATCCAGGGAAAAAGCAGTTTAGAGTAATCCAGTGAAAGATAGAGTGGTAGCAGTGGAAGAAGTGACAAGTAGTCAGATCTATGATTTTGAAGGCAAAGCCAATGGGACTTCCTAAGAGATTGGATATAGGCTGTCAGCCTGAGAGAGAGATCAATAATGACTTGAGGGTTTGGGGCTTGAGCCAGATGGAGTTGACATCTGAGATGGGAAAAACTGCTGGAGGAATAGGTTTATGGAAATATTTTGGAGATAACATTTGGACATGTTAAATATTAGATGTCTGTTAAAAATCTAATCAGTGGTAAGAATCAGTGGAATGCATGGAAGAAGTCTGGGGCGAAATTATAAATTTGGGAGTCAAATGACATATGAATGGTATCAAAAGTAATAAAACTGGATGAGATCACCAAGGAAACGAACACTGGTAGGCAGAGGAAAAAAGCCAAGAACTAAGTCCTGGGCACTCTAACATTAAAATGTCAGAGAAAAGAGTAGGCACCAGCAAAGGAGAATGAGAAAAAGTAAGTAGTAATAAAAAAGGACAACCAAAAAGTTGCAGTGTCATGGAAGCCTAGTGAAGATCATGTAATATAAACACTCAGAATTGACTATTGGATTTAGCAACATGGAAGTCATCTGTGACTTGACAAGAGCATTTTAAGTGGAATGATGGGGGCAAAAACCTGACAGGTACAGTTTTAGGAAAAAATGAGGAGATTGGATACAGTGAGTATAGACAATTATTTTGAGGAATTTTGTTTCAAAAGGAGGAAAGAAATAGGAAACTAACTGGCAGGTTTTTTATTTTTGTTTTCTCATGACAGTAGAAATAACAGCATGTTTATATGCTTACAGAAAAATCCAGAAGAGAAAAATCATCTACATATTTATGGAATAACTAAGAATTAAGAGAAGCATAGGGTTGGAGAGCATGAGAGTGAAGAATAGTGAGTAACAGTCTGATGATATGAAATTAAAAGCTGTGGCTTTTAGAGAGGAGGGAGGAAGAATTATCTGGAAGATAAAAGAAGATAGTCAATCCACTTCCAGGCCCAGACATTCAAGAGCTTGGGGGAAAACACAAGTCCCCAACTTTATAGGGCTACAGAAGAAGCAGTATCTTCAGAGGAGAGCCAGTTTCCATTAGAACAAGAAAGTGAAGGGAAGGAAAATTCAGAGATGTCAGGATATAAGGTTACTGATGAGGGATCATGAATTTCTGAGGGCACCGAAAAGTTTCAGTAGTTGGGCAGGGATAGGAAATGGAAGAGGGGATACGTAGAGCTTTCTGGGATTGGATGGCAAGAGATAAGGAATAATGTGGGGGTCTAGGGCTTCTTGCAGTGACAAACATAAAATGGGGTAAAGGGCATAATAAGATTAATCCTGTTGGACTCAAGAAAGATAATGGTGGCAAAGTTGTGGTGGGGGGGGCCAGGGCAGTTCAGGATGTGTGTGGCTCTTTTGATTCCTGTTGGGGGAGAGTGTATTTGTTCCTAGTGCTGGAGCTTCCTCTTGACTCTTGTTGATGGAATTGATGGACCTAAGACAAGTCCATTCATTATTAACAATTTAAAAAATTCATATGACCCCACACACATGGATTTCTGATCAAATAGCTTACAATTTAAAAAACTTCCCTGCTCTAGGGGAAATGTAAGCTAATTTTTCATAGGAGAGTTTGGTTTTACTTACATCTGTGTTACAGGAGCGATACCGTTTCCTTTCCCCAAGGCAATATTTTCCACCTCCTGAAGGTCTGAAAACACATTTTGTTTAACATGTGAATATATTTATCCACATAAAGAGTACATATATTGCTTGATGAAAACATATTAGCATTTACTTTAAGAAAATATAAATTTTGACATTTTATTAGTTATTAAAATAATAACCACATTGGCAATTGTCAGCAATAATGCTTATGGTTGTTGAACACAAGAATTAAGGCAATTTGAGTAAGTTTACAACACTCAATTGTCATGATTTATATTCTTAAAAAAATGCAATTAAATCAATGAGTTTTCTAATTATCATAGTAAACAGGTGCTCAGTCCATCACAATGAGTTTAAAAATCACTTATTTATAATGAAAAGTTTGAATCATATTCAACAAACTCATAATCTGATGCTATATGTTCACCGAGTAGGAAACAAAAAGTTTGCCCTTTTTTCCAGACTGGAAACAAGGAGGGGACACTAAATAACTCTGGAAATAGCTTCAGTTCAAAGTAAATAATGCAGAAATGAATTTCTATCTCATTTCAAATATTACATGAAGTTTTAAAAAATTAAATCTAAACATCAGATGAGTTTGCCTTTTTAATACTTTATATTACACTCAAATTAATGAAAAAGTAAAATGTCAAATACTTGATTTACATAAATTAATTTTTGAAATATTTAACATTAGGGAAAGCCATATGCTATTATTTGGGCATGCTATTTTTGAATGGAAAAACCAACTTGTTCTTTAAAAGAGGTCCAAGTTATTCTCTTAAGTATCTGAATATATTATTTATTATAGGGTTTTATACTTTTGGTTACGAATTTACAATAACCTGCAGTTGAACTTAGGTTAATTATTCTGTACTTGCTCAAAAAAGATGAAGTCTAAATTATAATTTGGGCTCACTGGTTATCAATGGAATAATTAAGGTTACATTTTGAATATACTTTGAATGCCAGTGAATGCTGACTCTAAATAAGGAAAAGAAATGGCCCATCTTAAGCCAGTTTGGGAGAAATGGGTTGGTAGACAAAAACAAGGTAGTAGGGATGGTGGTAGCATGACTGGTTTATGAGCGGGTGACAGTGAGCTGTTTAGCAGGTGGGTAATAATAGACAGAAAGTGGGAGAATGAAAACAGAGAACTAATATAAAGGGAAACAATTTCAAGCTAAAAAGAGAGAGAAGATAGAGACATTTAGAGACAGGAACCAAAGAGGGGGATCCTGAATGAAAATGAGAAAAACTAAAAAGCACAAATTGACCGTCTTTTACCCCAGAAGGGGGAAAAAGCAGAAGTGACATCATAACATCATTCTGCACCAAATATTTCTCCGGAAAGAAGGTCCTGAACCTGAGCTTTAGACAAAAATGGGAGCACTTGACATGCAGCAGCTAAGGAGCAGTCTAGTCTTTGGGAGGGCAGAAAAGGCCAACTAGAGGACCAGTCCACCTGTAATGGGCACTAGTGGGAGGCAGAAGCAATACAGCTAGCAAAGAATACTGATGGGGCTGGCTTCATGCCAGGCAGACTCTGCCTGGAGAAAAAGAGTGGTGGGAGAGGAACAGCCTGACCTGCATAAAATAGTCACGGGGAGAAAAGTGGTGGCAGCTCTGGAAGATGATTAATGGGGGCATGAGAATGGAAACTATTTTAACACATGGGCAGTATTCTTTTCATTGTGATTTGTGATGCGAATCAAGGCATTTCAACCCTTGAAGTGCTCTCATTGGTCCTTTTAATACTAATGTAGCAGTAATAATTTTATGTGACACGTGAAAAGATCTTAGGTTTCCTGGGAATAATGGTAATGTAGCTAAGACCAGACCTGGATTCATCCATAATTCAGTAGTTTTTGGAGGAGGAAATCTATCTGATTATTACTAGATTAAAAGTCTGTCTATACCTGGGATAGATACACAATGCTTTTCTTTTTCTTTTTCTTTTATTTTTAGTTACATAGTAAGGGGAAAGGAAGAAAAGGAAAGTCTGTCTAACAAGGCTCCTCCACTTTCCTGTGTCTATTGCTGTTCTGAAGACAAGAACTTGGCTCACTAGTGAAACGTTTTTACAGATAACATGTGAAACCACAGCTTTGAATCATTTCCAATGGTGTCTTTTTGTTGGCTCCGGCTTACTTTAGCTACTTACGCTGGACTGTCACAGTGTCTTAGGGATGAGGAGACGCCTCCCCCGCAGGTCCTGCTGCACTCTCCCCATAGTGACCAGGGACCCCAGCCCCCATCTATGCTCTGGGGCCAAGTGCCAAAAGGAACACAATCTCCCTGATAACACCACTGCAAGATTTCACAGAAAACACAGAATTAGCTTTTAGGCAGATAGAGCTATCAGGATAGAAATACATAAGGGTCAGGCAATGACCAATTATAGGCATTAGCATTCTCCCAATAGATAACAGGCTGAGAGAGTTCTTTACTGTGTTTAGAAATTGGTGAAGGTGCATGTGATTTGCAAATTATCTTTGTCGAGGCAATGATTTATAAATCGCTAACACGTACCAGGAGTCTAAAAATCTTGACTTTACTTCTTTTCCTTATTTCTCCTACTCCAGACTTTTAGTGTTTCTCATTATAGAGGCCTCAAAAGTCTTTTTCAGATATTTTAGTATTAAAAATTTTTTTCTTTATATTCCACTATTATTAGACTCATGGAATGATAACGCAACATGGAAAGTTCCCCAGTAAGGAATTTTTATGATGGTAATTGCTTTTTCTTTAAAAAAAAAAAAAAAAAAAAAGGCCGGTTGAGGCTACAATAGTAAAAGAATGTGTTGTGGCATTTCATCTACACGAGTACTGCAGACATAATAAAAGTAATGCCAAGACACCAGGGACCGGGTACAAAAAAACCCTTATATACACTGACTAGCCATGTGTATAGCCCCTGCATGAACATGTGTACTGGAATTCTTCTCAGCTTTACTCTCTGCAATAAACCACACATACTGCACATAAGTAGAAAGCCAGGAATAATTTATCGAGATGCAGACATCAAATAATCAGCTCATAACTCTAACATGATAAATCTTATTTGCAGAGTATGGTAAAAATGAAAACCTTTTTTTTTAAACCAAGCATTTCTAGGCTTTATTGGTGCATTTTTCTGAATTATCAAACTTTGACAAACCATACTGATGCTCTGAAAGTCATTTGTTTATATGGATAACAAAACGGAAGATTATTACAGTTGAATAACTGTCAGCAATGTTGGATTGTAAATAAAAATGCAAACTTATATTAAAATGTGAAGGGATTATGACATGTTATGCCTAGAAAGTAACGTTTGTTATATTAATCCTCTATATCTGGAATTCTTTCATGGTTCACCTTTTTCATTGCTACCATCCTAGACCAAACTGGTAAATGGAATAGCTTCTTACCTGGTTCCCCTGCCTCAACTTTTTTCTACCTATAATCAATCTATCTACCTATAATCAATCTATTCTCCAGTGAGAATTCAGAGCGACCTTTTAAAAACATATTATCACATCATGTCACTTTTTTGCTTAAAACACTGTGGTGGTTTCCTACTTCCCTTAACTCTGGTCAGCAGTGGCCTCTGTGATCTAGCCCTTGCCTTATTTTCCAGGCTTATTCTCTCTTTCACAGATTGCTCCAGATACAGGCCTTCTTTCTTTTCCTTAATACACTAAGCTTGTGCCGTCCATATGGCATTTGCATTTGCTGGTCCTTCTGGGAATATTCTTCTCTCAGTTCCTTATATTGCTGTCTTCTCATCATTCGGTCTCAGGTCAAGTGTCATTTCACAGAGATGACCACCCTTGTTCTGAAGTGGTACCTCACCATCCCTTCCTGCCCTCCCCTCCCCCGACTCTAAGATGTAATAGTGGTTACATCACCCTGTTTTAGTTTCCTCTTTCCACTTAACACTACTTTAAATTATCCTGTTTATTTTTCAAATTATTTCTTTATTTCTTTGTTTGTCTCCTCTCATTAGTATGTAAAAGCTTAAGAGCCACATGTGGCTATTTAAATTAAACTCAATTAAAATTAAAAATTCTGTTCCTCAGACCCACTAGCCACATTTAAAGGATTCCATAGCCACATGAGGCTAGTGGTAACTATGTTGGACAGAACAGACATAGAACATTTCTATCATCACAGAATGTTCTACTGGAAATACTGAATGTCTAGAACAGTACCTAGCATGTAGTAGATATGCAACAAAAATTTATTGCATGGATGAATACGTTAGTTAAGTTACAGAATTCTGTGTCCTGTTTTGGTTACTACATGTTGGGAAGGAACTGGAAATGCTGGTGGGTAAAGAAAGTCAAATTCATCTTTGTTGCCCCTGTAGGTGGCACTCAGTGAATGTGTCAGTAGTTGTAACAACATAAAGGAGTCTTTTAGAGAACTGCTGAACAATTATCATTTGTCCATAGAAAACTAGGCAAGAGGAAGTCAAAATTTGGTTGGGTATAAGACAGAACATTCTGACCCTAAATCTCATAAATATTAAAGTAGGACATTAAGAAAGAATTATGAGTTTGGGGCAATGAGAATTACCATGAAGAAAAAAATCATCTGTCCAAAATTATGAAGCAGAGGTAGTTGGCTGAACTGATAATATAGTATCAATGCTGGGGGCAGGGCTGCTGATAATGTACACTTGAGTGGGAAAGAATGTTCCAGCTGCCAGTTTATGACTTACCTAACTGACCTGGAAGAACAATCATTGTATAATGATATACCAATTGTGTTAGACCTTCACCCACATATATAAAAGTCACAATACTGGGTCAAATAATCCCCAGTTTTACATTTTTGTTGCTACAAGTAGCTGTGTGTAAGAATATTTATCTCTGTGCTTATTTCCCTATGAGAATAACTGAGTAATGTAGTTCTGACCAGCAATTACGGATTTTTTCCCATAGTTTCAATTAACGACAACTAACACTCTAAAAAATTCCAAATCTTAAAATTTGCATATTTGTTCAAGTTGGAGATTTAGCATTATTGATTTCAAATAACATTAAAGCTTGATTTTACATTTATTTTATATAATCACAAAGCTGCATGTAAAGCTCAAAGGACTTCAGAATTAATGCAGTCTAAGCACTTCATTTTTCAGATGAGGAAACCAGAACTTGAAGGAGGCTGACTTGCCCAAGGTCACTCACTGGCAGAAAAGGGATTATCTGTCCAAAAATATACAAAAATCAGTGGAAAAAATCAATTGGAGGTATAGGATTATATATTTTAAAACATTAAAGAATACTCTAATATACTTTGTTTTTATGACATAAAATACAAAATAACACTACAGATTAAAAAAACCCATTTAGCTGCAAGTGTACATCCAATGTTATTTCAGACCTCCTTGAGTATTCCTATAATTGGTAGAGAAAACATTTCACTTTTTACATTTTTCAGGGGACAAAGGAATTGTGAAGGCCATAAGAATACTGAAAGATGTAGGTTCCGAAGTATTTAATAATATTGTTATACATGTTTCATGGATGCTCACAAAATGTAGGCCAGGAAAAGAAGTCAGATAAATTCTCTTGGTTTCCTTTTAAAATTTATTTTTAAGGTAAAAGATAAATACAATTTTCATTTTGTAAAATGTTGCTCAGTTCTCATCATTAATTAACATCTACAGAGCAGTAGCATTTCATAAGTGGTTAGCTAGAATCTTTTACTGCAGAAATTTATGCTATTGATTATATCTATTCCATGGAATTATAACATGATAGACAATTATATCAGAAAGATAAACAATAAAAATTAATGGGCAAAAAATGAAGAATTCATAATAAGAATATAAGTATCAGTCATTTAGCAGCTGACAAGAGACTAGTGTCTAGTTTCACAACTAATTAATTAACGACTTAAATAGTTAACAAGTTAACAACTTTGTCTGTGTGTAGGCTGTGTTATAAAACCAAGTTTTCATCCTAGCGATATCTTTGGTCCAAAGCAAGTCATTTGCTTCTTTTCTCTAGTTTTCCAAACAATAAAATGGGGACTAACTTTAGTTTTTGATTCTAATATGGTTTGGATTAGGACTACTTTAGAAATTAGTTCTATGCAGACATACCTTCAAAGAAGTTAAAAATCTATCACAGGACTTGTTTGATTTTGATCTCTGGTAAAATGTTCTTTTGTGTTTTGTTTAGTTCCCCCCACCTTGTATTTATAGGAAAGGATCTCTTTGGAATTCTCATTACCTCTCTTCTCTGGTGATAGGAGCAGACTACTACCATATGCTATGTTGATGTAGCATATGATTTTAAGAGAAGAAACTTATTTAACTTAATTATAAGTGCTTTAGGAAACTTATCGGGGACTTCATGTGGATGAAGTTATATGAGCTAATTTTCTAAAAGATTAAGCAATATATACTAAGATTTTAATGTGCGTAAGTCGTAAGTAATATAATTAGATTATACCAAATAAAGCAACCTGAAGTATATAAATCCTGTAAGAATATAAAGGCGAAAATTTTGAGTATCGTTTTCTATTTTTATCCTTATTTTTTTACCTGACGTTGTCAAAACTGTAAAAACTCTATTTCTATAGGCATAGAATTTTAGTTCATTTCTTAAACTAGAAAAGTTAAATATTCAGATGGAAACCAGTTTCTAATCTTTATCTTCAAAGGTTATGTCTAATCTAGTGATTTTGGACTATTTTAAATATCAGTCATGTTACTTCAGCTAAATTATTCAGATAAACTGGATAAATTTGGCCTTTTTTGCTAATTCAGGTGTGTTTAACCAGATTCAGAAAGGTGAAAGAAGTGAAACTATCACATTCCAAGAATAAAATCTCATGTTGTTCATTTTTTCTCTTCACATTCCTTCTAAATAAAATAAATATGTTTTAAAAACTATCTATAAAGATGGTATAGTCCAGTAAGGCTTTAAAAGTTTTCTTAAGAAACACTTATTCATTATTAAACAACATCTCTTGTTATTAGACCACTGAATTTCATGATCTACAACAGGGAGTTATTTTCAAGCAAGATATATTATAAAATCAAACAATATAACTTTGAGAATTTGTCAGAATTCCACAAAAGAAAATTTCAAGATGAGCATACGCAGTATTTTAAATATATATATATATATATATATATAT